AAATATTAATTATATTTATCTAATTCTTTTTTTATTCTATCTTTCTATATTGTCTTTCTTTCTTCCTTAAATATATTTTAAATAACGTTGTCCTTAGTTATAGTTTTAATTAAAAAAAAAAAAATAAAATGTAACTCCTGCCTTTGTGTGCAAAAGAACAAAAAACAAACAAAAAGAAACCTTCGAGGAATATTGAAAATGGAATTCGTTAAAAATTTGAAGTGGTAAATGAAAAGTATCTTATTGAAACTGTACTTCGTTATAGAAGAGAATCTTAAAAAAGAAAAAAAGAAAAAGAAGAGGAAAAAAGCAATTCTCCAGTTTGAATTTTTGCCATCGTTACTGGCTCGTTTTTACGAATGTAAACACAAACGCATAATATTAATAATAATAATAATAATAATTCTACATTCTTTTTCCATCCTAAACTTAAAATCAATTTAACATAAAGATTTTCTTTTCGAATTGAAACTAAAATTTCGTCTTTATTTATCAAAAAACGAACGAACAAATGACAGACAGACATATTGAAAAATAAAAATTAAAATTAAAAAATTAAAAAGAGAATATAAGAATAAATAAAAAAAAAGAAAAAAACGAAGTGGTAAATCATGAGACGTCGAGAAGAGAATGAAAAAAGAAATAAAGAAATATATTTTTCTCTTTTAGTGTATGTTTTTCTCATTTTATTTGTCCTTGGAAAAAGAAAATGAAAAAAGGATGATGGGAGGAAGAGGGTGGGATAGGTGGAGGTTGTTTGAGTAGTCGGTAAAGGAAAGTTAAGAAAAGGAAGGATGAAGAAAAGGATGAAAAAGGGAAGAAAGAAGATGACGTTACTGAAAAGAAAAAAAGGTTAGAAAAAGATATAAGAAATGTTAAGAAGATGATGCGCCGAAGTGGAGAGAGACGATTACTTCGTTGGAAAAATGCATCATCGATCGATCGTTGTTAAGACCTGAGACTATCTATCCATCCCTTCTGTACAACCCTCAAAGGTTAACGACACTCTTTCTAGCGTATCTTAAGGATCCTTGTGGAGATGGCGTTCGATCAGCGTGGTCTGGAAATTCGACGAGAACGACGACAAGGAATCCGTGGTGTTGTGTCACTAGGTCGAGCATAAAACGGGGGATGCAATATGCGCTTGCGCTTCTCATTTCTACAAACCACCCCCACTTCCATTCGATGAATTCAGCACGAGTAAGAGAACGAGACGGCAAAAGAAGGAAAGGGAAAGGGAAAGAAAGAAAGAAAGAGACAAAAGAGGGGGTGAGAAAGCAATAGTGGCGGTGTTTAGGGGTGGGGGTGAGTGGAGAGTGGAGGAAAGTAAAAGGATAAAGCAAAAGGTGGTGGTGGAGGTGGTAGTAGTAGTAGTAGTGGTGTTCCATGCCACGAACGGGGGATCCGAGAACGGTCTGGGTGGCATCCTCGAAATTCGTGTCGCGACGACAAAAATTTTCTTCTCTCTCCTCATCGATGGACCACGAGAGAAACGGGGAGAGAAAAAAGGAAGAGAGAGAGACGGAGATACAGACCGACTGACAGGCTTACTGACAGAAAAAAAGAGGATACAATAATTTAAACTAGTTACCGTTTACGGGAAAGAAAAATTGAACCCTTTTTTTTTTTGTTTCTTTTTATTTGTTTCTCTTTTCTACTTCTTCTTCTTCTTTTTTATTTTTAATTTATCAAATCGTTATAATATATAAATTGTTGAATTCGTTCTTTCGAATTAAAATGAGAGATAGTGTTTGATAAAGGTTAAGAGGCGTTTATAATAAGGGTGGGTGGGAGTTTGTCTCGGGTTCGATAAAATTCAGATAGTTCGACAAATTTTCTATCATATTTTGACGAATTCACCGTGTCACGGATGCTGCTGTTACTGTTGCTGCTGTTGTTGCTGCAACTATTACAAAGGAACATACGTCATTTATGAGAATGATTCCTTTTCGTATCGGATTACGAAATCGCGTGTGTACTTTAAGGACCGTGATCTTGAACGTGTGCGAGTTGTCTTTGATATTCGCGTTGTGACAAGCCGCTTACGGGAAGTATCCTTTTTCACGTGGAAATCTGATCTCGTTGGTGTATACGCTGACAGTGACTACTACTACTACTACTACTACTAAACTACTACTCCTATTATTATTAATACTATTGCTGTTGTTGCTGTTGTTGCTGTTGGTTATTTTCATTCTTGACATTCGCGAGCAAACAGGTAAGATCGTTTCATAAGTTATTTAAAAAGAAAAAAGATAAAACAAATCAATCCTGTTGAATAGAAAACGTAGAAAAACTAATAACTATTTAGAAGATCCACTCGAATCTAATAGAAAGCTCTTCTCATTCAATTATATAGAAATCTATTTCTAAAGTATATATAAAAGAAACTATTCTAACTATTTTATATATCATAATCACATTGTATATTATATAATTATATATTATATATTATGATATATGATAATGAAATATACGTTTATTCTTCTTTCGAATAATTAATAACTTATATCTAAACGATATTACTAAATTTTTCATTTAATTTTAATATACGAATTCTCCATATACACACAAATTTACGTTTCATAAATATAATTGTTTTTCTTTTTTTTTTTAAATATTCTAACGATCAAATAATGAACACCAATTACATTTATTAACATTAAACGATACGATACAATTACAAATGCAATAAATTTAAATTTATGATTCTGAACAACGGATATGGTTTTATTCAAAAATAGATAGAAAAAAAAAAAAAAGAAAGAGAGAAAAATATCGCGAGGTCGGAGGTCAAGGACAAGGCAGGGGAGGAAAATAAAAAAAAAAAAAGAAAAACAGGGACAGCATCGTTCTCCTTTGTTTCATTTCAGCCTGCAGCAATACCGAAAGTGAATATGTCGAGGTACAAAGATCTCAACAAGAGATGACATTCTTCCCTGTGTTATAACATTTATGGTCAGGTCGTCGACCATCGGCAGAATGCTGCCGCGTGGACTGCCATTAACGTTTCTTCTTGTGCAATTGTTTCATCATATCGCTTGGTAAGATCTACCAAGAGATATCAAAAATTCAACCTAACTTTCACTTTATAATTATGAAAATGATCTAATAACCTAAGTCATAATATTATATCTCTTGTTTCGAAAAATTTCAAAGATTACTATTAACCCTTCTTTGCATGATGATGGAAATTTCAATCATAATATTTAGTCAACAAAAAAAGGTACTCAAAACCCTTGTACTGTATATTTGTTGTTGCTGGCAACTTTTTAAGCGACTATTGCGTACAACAAAACGCAGTTGTCAAAAAATAG